GGAAGGGAGCCTGCATATTGCAAGGTTAACGCTAAGTACTTAACGGACAGTGCAGTTTTCTTCCAGTGCGGCAACCATGAAAGGAAACAGCTTGAGATTTGCCAGATCAAAGTTGACCAGCGATCGCTTAACATGAAATGTGATTAATATATGAGAAATGCAGAGTGTTGAGGTTAACTTGATTTAGTCAATGTCCACAGACATGAATGGGGAGCAGCTTTCATCAGAGAGCAGAGGCACAGGATCCAACAGCACAGGAGGGAAATTTACTGCTTTCATGGTGGGGTGGGGGTGGGGGTGGGGGGGGCAGCTTTTTTGTGAGAAAAGATCATTTTCCACCTGGAAAAGCTGCCATTTCTTTTTGCCAAACAATCGATGCTAAAATGACTATATATATAGACACACACACACACACACACACACACACACGTATATATGTGTGCATATATGTATTCATTACATATATGTACATACATACACAGGTGCATGTGTGTACAGATACATGGTACATATACGTGGGTGTGTGTGTGTACATACACACACGCACGCACACGCACATATGTATATCTACACACGTGTGTGTGTATATATGTATACACACATACATATATAAACACATACACTATATCTAATGGTACATATATGTATATATGTGTGTATATATGTATTCATTACATATATGTACATACACATGTGCATGTGTGCGCGTGCGCGCACACACACGTATATGTACCATACAGATACATATATACACACACGTGTGTACACACACACACACACACACTATATACCTAATGGTACATATACATATGTGTGTGTGCGTGTGCATATATATGTGTGTGTGTGTGTGTATGTACCTATATACACAGATACATATACATATATGTATATATGTGTGTATATATGTATTCATTACAGATGATAAAGATACATATGTGTGTGTGTACATACACACACACACACACACACGCATATATAAACACACACTATATACCTAATGGTACATATACATGTGTGTGTGCGTGCGTGTGCATGTACGTACACACACACACACACACACACACACACACAC